CTCTTTTTTGAGTTTCTAATAAACTTACAAAATCAAACAATATCTATATGACATTTACTAATAACTTTTTTAAATAACTGCTTTAGTAAAATATTAGATAAATTATTACAATTACTGAATGAACAACTTTCTACTGACTTTAAACATATAATACAATATCAGATTGAAAATCTAAAAATTCTTCCACACTATCTACTACTAATTGCAATACTTGAACTACCTCAAGACCAATACTACACACTATCAACTATATTAACATATATAGGTTTTAATAATAGAATCAAATATTCTTACTTTTTTATAATTGAACCTACTAGAACTGAAAATTTTATATCAATTACTTCATAATAAACATGCTTATATAAAGATATTCAACCTTTCTATTATTAGCATTCATAGAAGCAACAGCACAGAATAAAAAAGCCAAAACAATTTATTCTGAATTATACATTTTACTCTTGCAAAAAAATTTTTATTCATATATTCAAACAGATATCAAACTAAAAACACAGTTACAAAAAATTGATATCATAATCATTAATAAAATATTTACAGTTTTTGCTAAACTTTTTGATTTTTATTTCAAACCTATTTACTAATCTTTATAAATAATGCTATTGTCTTTGGTGATATAAATATAATAGTTGTTGGTGATCTTGCACAACTTTTTCTTATTACTGGACAACCAGTTTTTCATTCATCTGCCTAGTTATTGTTTTATCCTTCATTCCTAAAAACTTTCCAACAAATATAGTGTTTCTCATTTTTATACCCTTCTAAATGAAGTACAATCAAATAATACCTTTTAAGAAATCCTAGTAAATGTTACAACAACATCATTCTAAGTTTTTACTACAACTAGCAACAGATATACTTCTTAGCACTATCCACATTGTTGCACTAAAAGCAAATGCTCAACAAATCAATAGAATGATATGTAACTCACTTCCAACCTTTAACAATAAATTTATATTACCTCAGGCTAAAGACTCTATTAATTTGTAGAATCTGATCCACAATTTTCAGAACACATGTTTAAACAAAAACAAACCTACTCCTATACATCCACTTACAACCAGATGTACTTATTATGTATCTTAATAATTTACTCATTGAACAAGGAATATATAATAGTACTATAGGCATGATAACTAATATTAACTCTATAATCAATTTTGAAATATATAAAATTACTCACTATTTCAAAATAAATGGTAGTAACTGCCATTGAACACAATTCTCATTACAAAACCATTTTGCTCTTACTGTTTATAAAACACAAGACTAACATTACCAAAAGCATCTCTTATATTAGATCAATTAATTTTTTTACTAGGACAGGTTTATGTTGCCCTTAGTAAATGTTCTTAATAGGAAAATATTGAACTATTTAGTCTTAAACAATCTGTCTTTATAACTAATTCTGATGTAACTCTTGAATACCAAAGACTTGAGAACATTTCTAGATCAAACTTATATTACTTTTTTTGAATAATACATTATAAAAATTTTTATTTACTTAATTAATCTAAAATCTCTCACTTACTTTCTGAACCTTATTTCATGAATACTTAACAATAACATAAGCTTACATTTTCTAATCTCTTACACTACACTCATTAACTTGATAACCAGTTACTATTCAAATTACTAGAATTACTTCATCTTACTGCTAAACATTATTATACAAACCTTAAAAAATTAACTATAATATTCACTTTTTAAAGCATCTATAATTACTACTCAACCTCTTAAAAATAAGAACAATGATTCTGAAAATTATTTTTAAATTTTGAATATATTCATACTTATTTAATAAATATTCTATTATTATTATTTAACCCTTTTCTAAATAAATAACAAAATCACACTTTTAATTATTAAAAATTTAAATTCTGATTAAAAATATAACCTATAATTTACAACTTTATACTAAATACAATCTTAAAATTTTAACTTTGTTAAACTATTATTATTAAATTCTAATAATTACTAAAAAATACTATTTATTATTATATGTTTAGTTAAAAAATAAATATTCTGATTTTAAAAAACTTTCAATAAAAATAACAATTTAAATTATTATCAAAAATTAAAAAAAATTATATAGATTAAAAACCCATAATATTTTAATCAATAATATTATACTAATTGGCTAATTCTACATCTATATTAATTAATAAAAATAAAAATAATCACTAATCATTCTTTTATTAATTTTTCAATCTTACTATACTTTTCAGTTCTATAGATAATTAAAAAAAATAATTGCTATTAAAAATTAAAAATTAACTATAATAAAGAAAAAAAAACTATATAAAATGTTTCATTAGAGCTGTAAAACTCTATAGTTAAAATAAAATCTAATTCTTGTCTATTTTAAAAAATCATCTTAGTAATAAGTTGGTTTTAAGAAATTATTACTATACTAACTTTTTTAAACAGACAAATTAGACTTTATTTTTTAGCTATGAAGTTCTACAACTCTAATAAAATCTTCTATACAACTTTTTTTTTTTACTTCATTATGATTAGTTTGTTTTTTTTTAAAAATGTACTTTAAACTATATAAATTATGTAAAGTTAAATTGGATTTATTAGCAAAAAAACAATCTTCTGCCTATAAATAAAATATTGTTTTGCAAATATTTTTGATTAGCCAATGATATTTTTGAATGATAGTAAGATTACTAACAAAAATAGCTAATTACAATAAATATCTGCTATGTTATAATTTATAGTTGTTCTGTATTAATGAATAAGTAGCTGCACAACATTGTCACACAAAACCAGAAATATAAAAAAACTACACAGGCACCATTTTAGTTACAGAAAACTATATTCTTTATTGCAATCTATTTCTGGTATAAGAAAATGATTCTTTATAAAAGAAGTTGATAGCACTTGCATCTGAATACAGTATTGGTTTGAATTTTAGCAGTTCCAATCTACAAAACATATCTGTATTTAGAAATAATTGACAAATTCTTTTTAATTAAGTCTTTAATGATCATTAATTTCATTTTATTTGCCTAATAAAAAATTCAATAAAAAAAATTAAAAATTACCAAATATTTAGTATTGAGGTTTTAAAATTTATATTAAGATACTAATTTTTGTATCTAAAAAACTTATTTTTACTATCATTTGTTATAGCATCTTTGATTTAACAGATGTATATGCTTATTTATGTTTTTTTTTAAAAAATATTAAATCATTAATAAGTCATGCAGACCAATTAATTCCAAGATTTTGATATAGAAGTATTTTGTTCCTGGTACCTACCTTTTAAAGTATTGGATTACCCACTTATGAGAATTGTACATGCATATTTAACTTGCCTGTACAATTGTCATTTCTTGTATATAAATAACAAACAATTTAAAAATTTATACATTTTTATTAGAATGTAATAAGAATATATTCAATTTATTAATAATTATTTTGGCTAAGTTTTTTGAATTACTCATATTAGGCATAGTATATACTCACTTTACAACTAGAAATTTAGCATAGTGCACACTTGCTTCATATTAGACATTTAACATATATTTTGGTTAGAACAAAATAATTGATATTCTCAAATAATTAGCATATATCTTAATATATATAGATCAAATTATGATTAGCATTAGTGTTAGTAAATGATATTTCATATATAGTATTTTAACTTAACAAGAGATACAATAAAAATTATAGTCAACAAGCCCTCAACTGTGACCTAAATGTCAAATTATTTTGTTAACTTAATAAAAAATACTACAAAAAAAAAACAGAAAATCTTCAAAATCTAATAAACATATATAATAATTCACATCAGGCCATCAGTATTTATGCTAAAAAATCATTCTTTTACCATTATTTTATTATAAAATTTCTAATTCAATAGTGTTTCAGATTTCATTTTCATTTATCTTATATATATATAGTAGATATAATATATGTTCATGTGTATAAACACAAGTGCAATATTCAAGATGCAATAGTCAAACTACTATTATAAGATGTGGAATAATATGTAAAAAATAGGCAATGCATAACAATATGTGATAAACAGAGTCATATGAACCAATCAAGTACTAAAAATCATATATACATATTAACTTGCCTGTAAACTATACATTACATACTTCATACTTTATTTCTAGTATTTTGGCCCAAATTATTTTTAATTTGGGCCTAAGTTGTTTTTTATGCCTAATAAAAAAATTTACAATATCTAATCAAATTATTTGAACAATTGGTTATTGTTCAAATGTTCAAATATCCAATGTTATAACATGCTATTTCTGCTATAATAGTTTATGTTTTATTCTAAATAATCAGAAATTCTATAGACAAGAAAATGATTTTGCTTAATACTAAATATAAATAAAACTAATAAATTTTAATTTAAATGATAAATAATTATTATAGTGCTTTGCAAAAAGATGTAGTAACATGATTTTTGTGATGATGATAGCAAAGAATCACTGGGATTCTAAATGTAAAATCTAAATTTAAGAATCTATATAAAATTATACTATATATTATACTTTAATTACATTATGCTTTAATTTTGTTATGCATTAATTACATTATACTTTAATTATACAATTAATCATTATAAATACTAATATAATTTTTTTAATAACAATAAATATATTTACATATTCTTTATACATATTAATTGATATATATTATAAATTTTTTTTAATATATAATTCTAATAGCTGTTACCTAAGAAACAAAACTTAAATACCATCTAGAAACCTGTTTTAGTTGTCAAAATGCTTATACTGTGGAATTGATTTATAACAACAAAGATATAATTGCAATTTATCAGATGTATTACATAAAGATAATCGAACTGCTGCAATTAAATATGCATTTACATGAGTATTTAAACCAAATTGAATAAAAGAACAAGTAGAATATGTTTGTCAAAAGATAACATTTTAAAATTACTTACTAAGTTTAAAAGAATCTTTTAATTTTCATTAGGTTCTTGATGCAACAGTATGTTATTAAGATTATTTTCAAAGGTAAAAAAGTTTAAAATAATATTAAATTTTACAGTTATAAATGCTGATACTCTTTTAGAATTTAAATTATATGATTTTACCATTCCAGATACTAATGCTATTAAAGAAAAGAATAGGTTGAAATTTACTAAAGATTATAATAACAACTATAAAGATTATAGTACTAATAAGTTTTTATCTGATAATGATACTAAATATGAGTATAATTATAAAATTTTTATTAAGTTAGAAAATAATACAACTCTTCTAGCAAAGTTGTATTCATCTAGAATATCTACAATTGTCAAATTGCTTTTAAAAATTCATATACATATTGAAATTCTGACAAAAAAAAAAAATCAATTGAATCAAGCAATTATTATATTCCATTTAAACCTGAAAAGACTACAGGAACAGGCACACAATTAGTAGATAATCATAACTTTGAAAAATTTCAAGCCAATTACTAGAAATTTACTTCTAAAAATATTGATATAGCTTTTTTTATAATATTCATTGCTTCAAATTTGAAACAAAATATAAGTATTAATGTTGTATAATATATATAATTATTATTGCTATATTATGTACTACAAATTATATATTATATATTTAGGATCTTGAGTTGGATAATAATTTGAATAATAACAATACTTTGAATTTTAAAAAAATTAATTCTATATCTAAAACTTCAAACTTATTCTCAATTGAATCATTAATAGCAAAAAATATCTTAGATATTTGTAAAGCAAATTATTGCTTAATTCATAATTGATACTGCTTGAACAAAAACAGTGTTTAAGAAAATTATATTGAGATTACATTCATGATGCTTTTCATTTGGGTATCTAAAATTGTAAGAAAAATTTATTAAATAAATGTTAAATATATATATTATTATTCTATATCTATTTCTTTTTTTGAAGACCAATTTCATAACTCTCTCTGTAGATCACTTGTACCAAACTTTTACTAAAAACATTTAATTATTCCTCAATATATTATTAAGTAGACCTTACTTGAACCTCTAACTAAAGTTACTTAGCTCACTTTTCTCCTACTAGGCAGCCATGTTTCATACTTCTGCAATATTTGGCCACTAAGAATAGTTCCAAAAACCAAAATATGGTTTTTGCTTATTTGCTAAATATTTTACTAATTAATCTCATATTTCTACTTATTAGAAAAATAACAAGCACTTCATTCTGGTCATATTGATATATAATACATAGCAAATAAACCAAAACTCACTAAGATATTAAAAAAAAGACAAAACTAAAATCTGCTTTTGCATGTTATTTCACTGGTAAATTTAGGAAAATTTACTGGGTTGCCTCAGAAAATTCACTTTTCTGGCATCCATTAAAATTTTCTAAACATCTAATTAGCCTTTCTAATAGTCCCATATTTCTCAGATCCTTCTTAACTTATCTATAAAGCCTTTAAATTAGAAAATTTTATCCAAAAATCAGGTTATTTAATCTAATTTGAAAATTGTTTTCTATTAGCACATATATCATACTAGGATAGTCACATAAAATGCCTAGCATTATTACTATTGAACTAGACTCCTTCAACCTAGATACCCTTTAAAACAAATATAATGGTTGAACCTTAGCTACCTTGGACAAAAACTGTAAAAGTTTTAAAGTCCTTCTAGCTAACTTCAATCCTATACAATGTGATATCAACAATTGTTACTACTTCTTTCCTAGCCCTAATCAACCTACCATCACAAGATGCCTTTGTGGAAAATACCACACATATTTCATTTCGCAACATTTATCTCTAACACCTATCTCTAACATTACCTTTACATCAGAAATTGAGTTATCTAACTTAATGGAAATTGATCTAGATACCAAACTCTACAAATCTCTCTATAATGTACCAAAGTCATCCTTCCAGCCTAAACACAATATCGCTAATCCATTTTCTAACTGCTACAGCAATATTAGACAAGATACCAATAATCAAATCTCTTTTACAACCTACTCCCATCATGCATACACATGCATTATTTGCAAAACCAAAAATGTATCTTGCATTATGCTAACTGATAACAAACGTTCATTAGATCCAAAAGCCCTTGTATTTAAAACTGAAGTTGGTGGCTTCTCTGCCTACTCTCAATGCATTCACAGACTCATACTAAAACTTGCCAAATTTACAAGTCCTATGAACTAAAAGCAATGTGGCCTCTATTGCAAAATCAAATGTGTACAACTATCTACAGAAGACAAATGCATTTTCTTCAAAAAATTCTTAAATAAACATTCCAAAAAGACTAAAAATACTGATAAACAACCAGACAATAACTCTAAACTAAAAAAAACTTTAAACAACAACAAACTGAATACAGATAACAACAACAACTCAAACAAAAAGCAAATACCCCAAAACACAATATTTCTAAAGACTTTGACTGGTTCAAAAACTATTCTGATATTCCAACTATGCAACTACATAATAAACTCAATATTCCATTGGCATTACAACTATTCAACCCTCTGAAATTTAATCTCAGAGACTTTATTCTTGGACAAGTTATTCCCAATAAAGCTGACAATAATAAAACAACTACAGACCACCTGCCAAATTCTCCTTCAGTCATATTCTTAATAAAATGGTAAGCAAAAAATCTAAGTTCTTATCAGATTTCATTATTAACTCAAGCCCTGATTTTGATAAATCAAAACTGATTCCTTTTAAAGCCTTTCATGATACTCTCAAAGGCTTACTTACCAAGTTTTCTTCATACAACTGGATTACTTACATATCATCCAATCACACTATTTTATCTCACCTTACTCGCATATCAATAGATGTAGAGTTGCTATAAACTTAGCCTGCCTACATCTTTATCTAAACCATAAATATAGAACTATCAACTTTGAAGAATTCATGAAAAAACTTGACATTAAACCATTATGATTCACACTTTACTTTGACATTAAATACAGCTCAAAGCAACTTAAGTTCATAATCAAAAATGACAACCAATTTAATATTAATACTACTCTTAACATTCCATCTAAAAAATTTTTAAAAGACTTTAGAATCCCATCACTTAAGCTTTATCTTACAACTTATGAAACCTGGTTTAAACCCTTTTTCAAAAAATACAGTACCCAATTTGAGAAAATTGATCAACATAAACTAGCAACTATATTAAAAATGCTAATATCACAAAAATTAATAGAAGAATGCAAAAAACTTTTGCCAATATTATATTTCTTATCAAACTTATTACATATTCTCAAAGAATGCTCTGAAGCAACCTTTAAAGCAGCACTCCACCATATTTACTTTTGCTCTAACAAAAACTGTGACATATTACCTAAATCAACTAAACATAATTTAGAAAACATATCAAAACTCTACTTTATCAACTCTTTCAAAACCCACCTAGTACCAGAGTCAGAACAAAAAGAATAAGTATACCCAATCTTGGAAACTGATAGCTTCCACCCTAAACAAAAACTTGCAGCAAGCTTCTCTATCCCAACACCTACAGAAGAACTTAGAGACTTAGCAATAGCTACTAAAAAGTCCTTTGCAAAGCTCAACAAAGTAGAAAGTAACACAGCCCAATTTATATACTACTTCTATCACTATTTAAGAGCCTTCATGTTAGCAGCAAGAGACAATAACAGACTCACAGGCCTATCTCAAAAAGAAGCTCTAAAAAAAATGATCAAAACAACTAATAACATTCATATTCTCACAAGAGTTATCACATACTTTAAATTAGAAATGGAATTTAAAATATTGCTAAAACAAATATGTATTAATTATAATCAATTTTACTACTCAGCAGCTAAAGACTTTTTGATAAAATATCTCAAAATCTCAATTCCAGAACAATATGAAGACTCTTTCTTTATATAAAATCCTGAGACATTAACCTCCCAAGAAGTAGATAAGGACACATCTATACCCCAAAAGAAACAACAAAAACAACAGAAAATACTACTTTTACCTTACAAGAGGAAAGTGCAAATCCTCCTTTTCAATAACATCTTTTACAGAACACATTGATCAGCTGCCATCTTGAAAACTATGATGTCCTCCATACTTACTAGGCTATCTTTAGAGAAGAATGATAACAATAGTCAGGCAGTAAAGCCTAGTATGAGCGAACCTGTAGAAGACACTATATATAATATCTCTAGTACCAATACTTCAACTCTCTTAAAGACAGACACTTAGTATAACAAATTTTTAAAGCAATATCATCTACCTTTATTACCACAATTCATAACACTTAAGGATTTTATTAAACACTTATGCTAAAATCTTTTCTTTGATTCTATAAAAATATCAGTCAACCTTGATAATACAGAAACACATATTTATACTAAAATTACAGACCCTACTATTCCTAAC